AAAAACATAATTTAGAAAAATTTATATCAAGTTGTACAGCACAGCATTCTATGTCCAGCCCCTTGCAAAATTGCACTAGCTCTATCTGGCTAAATTTTAGATTATTTTTAACAAATAAAATGATCCGAAGCTTTCACAGTGACTAAGTATAATGAATTCTGCACAGGCTAGCAGCCGTGTTAGTGCTACTGGTAGTCCTAGAAGAATCTATTAAACTGATCTGTTGTAGTCCAGGAAATAATTTTCAGTGTATATTCATATAAGAACTGAAGTAGACAATAAATAGGAGAACATTCTTCACATAACTGATTTGAGCCTTAGTGAAGGACTTAATTCCTCTTACAAGCATTAACTTTAACATTAATATTATGAAAATAATGGGAGTAGCTAGTCACTATACCGACTGAGCTATGCTGGCTTTGTAGGTGTGGAAAAGCATATTCAAAATTGTCGTTTACTCTCCACATACTATTTCAGTTCCTTCTTCATTGTTGTCGGTCTGATAAAAGTACGTGTAACAGGCAAACTACGGCAGCAATGCTAAGAGAAAAGGCAGTTCAAATAAATACAAGTACAGTTTAGAGACGGTTTTGTCTGTGGGTGTGACATGCTAGACCCTGAGCCAATGTCCACTGTTACCACCCTTTCGCCGCCAAGTTACCAAGATTCGTCTATATATATATATGAAACATTTTTGTTAGCATTTGAATAAAGTATTTTTTCCAATTAAATCCGTAAATTCGTACGAATTCTATGATCGGTGGTGTATTTTTCCTTCATTGTGTCTAAATTCAATGTTCCATTGATTTAAACAGCATTTACATAGCCGCACTATCCAGTAGATGTAGTTAACGATGCTAGACTATCCTAACTTCTATTAACAGTATCATAACTTCATATAATGATGCGTATGAAACTGGAACGATGCTAGAAGAATAATTTAGTAACATTCTGTTTTTACTTTCAAGTTCGCTGATAGCACTCGTTTTCTGATTGTAGGAGTTCCAGAAACATTGACTTCGCCGCCGTGAGAATCTGAAATCTCGCCGGAAATGGAATCTGTCAAGTTGTTGGTATTATCTGTGGTAATCATGATGGTCGGCGGAGCATAAGACTATGATGCCGCTAACAATAGTGTTTCTGTTTTAAAAGGTGTGATAATAAATCGTAAACATATATACTCTCAAATTCGAAAAGAGCTAGTTCTGTAGAATTCGAACCTATTAATACATCAGAGACTGCTACGAAAATAAGAATGAGGTACAATATTTGAATTTTGACATAGTAGATGTAGTTGGCATGTTGTGGTTGTTTCTTTTTTAGCCTTATTTTCATTTTTACGATTCGTTTTGTCTTGTAGCGAAGACGTGCAATGTGCCAACGATATGGAGCGTGGTGAAGGATCTGGTAAGTTTCTTTTGACAGTAACAGAGATACATTTTTAGCTGTATCTACATGTGATTTAAATTTATAAGCAAATGGTGATGATAATGTAATTTGGTGAGAATTTGTCTGTAATGACGTATTTTGTTTTTGGGAAGTATTCTGTACCTTTATTGTATTTCTCGGTATTGTCTGAATGTGCTACATTGTTCTGTGACATGTTCTGCACCTTGCTTTCTAAGATGTGTGGGATGCATCTGTATCTGTAAGAATGTCAGATTGAGATTTTAGCAACAGTGAAATTTGCTGTCTTCTGGGAAACAGCATTTACATAGCCGCACTATCCTGTAGATGTAGTTAACGATTCTTCGTGTTAGAGAAGTGTGTTTATTTCAACGTCAGCGCAGATGTTATCAAAAGGAAACTTTGGAACAGAGCTCCTTAATGTTTGTTCTGTTTTTACTCTGATGTCAGAATTGGAAATGGTTAATTGCTAGAATATCATAACTTCTATTAACAGTATCATAACTTCATATAATGATGCGTATGAAACTGGAACGATGCTAGAAGAATAATTTAGTAACATTCTGTTTTTACTTTCAAGTTCGCTGATAGCACTCGTTTTCTGATTGTAGGAGTTCCAGAAACATTGACTTCGCCGCCGTGAGAATCTGAAATCTCGCCGGAAATGGAATCTGTCAAGTTGTTGGTATTATCTGTGGTAATCATGATGGTCGGCGGAGCATAAGACTATGATGCCGCTAACAATAGTGTTTCTGTTTTAAAAGGTGTGATAATAAATCGTAAACATATATACTCTCAAATTCGAAAAGAGCTAGTTCTGTAGAATTCGAACCTATTAATACATCAGAGACTGCTACGAAAATAAGAATGAGGTACAATATTTGAATTTTGACATAGTAGATGTAGTTGGCATGTTGTGGTTGTTTCTTTTTTAGCCTTATTTTCATTTTTACGATTCGTTTTGTCTTGTAGCGAAGACGTGCAATGTGCCAACGATATGGAGCGTGGTGAAGGATCTGGTAAGTTTCTTTTGACAGTAACAGAGATACATTTTTAGCTGTATCTACATGTGATTTAAATTTATAAGCAAATGGTGATGATGTAATTTGGTGAGAATTTGTCTGTAATGACGTATTTTGTTTTTGGGAAGTATTCTGTACCTTTATTGTATTTCTCGGTATTGTCTGAATGTGCTACATTGTTCTGTGACATGTTCTGCACCTTGCTTTCTAAGATGTGTGGGATGCATCTGTATCTGTAAGAATGTCAGATTGAGATTTTAGCAACAGTGAAATTTGCTGTCTTCTGGGTTTTTGTTCTGTGTAGTCTGGTAGAAGTTCTACCAGACTACATGGTGCAACAACCCAAAAAAGCAGCCATCTTCAATATCACATTAGGTTATTTCTGTATATATACATTTATGTGCACCTTTGCAATTAGATATGTACTGATATGTGTCCTGTACCTTTATATTTAGTCTATTGTTTGGTGTTAGTGAAACTGAAACATTACAGTTATGTTGTATGTTCAAGTCTCTGTACAATGTGATATATAATATGAAACAAATCACAATGTTACTAATATACAATGTAGGACTTCCTTTTGAGTTGATGGTACTACACTGAGCTATAGATTGACCCAGCCTGCATCTCCCTTCTTCTGTTATGCTACCCTTCAAGCCATGTAGTTATGCTGTTTATACAGATATTGGTAGTGATAGCCTTCATTAGAGTCAAGTGCTTTGAGCTGATGGCCACAGGCAAAAGGGGGCCTGAGGGAATTTAACAATAAGCAATTAAGTGTTGTTGCCAAAGTTTATGGAACTTTGTTCTAAGGCCTCAATATTGAAGAAATTTTGACTGATGTATAATCAAGGATCAGATTGAGGAGTGAATGTTCAGGCACTGAGGAGAACATGTTTTTTTACGTTTTTTATTACTGGAAGTTATAACCACCAAATAAATTTTAGGTTTTTTTGTTCAGTTAAATTATAGAGCTGGCAGCCAATTTGCATATTTCTTTACTAGTTTTTCATCAGGTCCCACAGTATCTACTTCCTCTCCTCTCATTTTGGCCATGCAGCTATAAGTAATATACCTGCTAAAGATTATTCAGGGATGCTGACCTTGGGCAAATTGTAACAGGTATTACATCACACGATAACCAGTACTTCCAGGCAAGAAGTAGAATTGTTGATAACACATTTCATTATACATAGTGATTGCATAGTCATGCAACCCATATTAAAATGTTTTTTTATAGTTAAAGTTCAATTGGATTAATAAACACAGTATTGCTGTGACTGTACAAGAGCCCACACAGGCCACGTCATGGTATAACCTGCTCACACCAATCTGTCAGTTGTCTTCAGTTCCTCTCCTCTCATTTTGGCCATGCAGCAGTTTTCCCACGTGTACAAGTGCTTATTGCCTAATACTACCTGGCATCACGTTCTTATGTAACTTGCTAGAATTAATTTAGAGATATATTTCTCAATTCTTTTGTGCCAGACAAATTGATATTATGTCATCTGGTGAACCATTCCCATAACTTAAGAAGTGTGCAGGACATAAGCCATTCCAGTTCACCTGTGTTTTGTGACATTAACCTTCAAACTTCACAACACTGTCCACAGAGGTCACTTATAAGACTTTTCTCTTCAGAGTGGATTATCCTGTGAAAATGTTAATAAGGCAACTAGAATTTGTATTAGCAATTGGTTGCAAGACTTTTCAATCACTCTGTACCATGTTAATTCAGTTTAGTTTACTGTGATTATGTATTTTGATATTTGGGGTTGTGTGGTTAATTAATTGACTGGCTGGCTGGCTTTTAAGTAAATCTATATAGATTATGTAGTGCTGAATATCTAGGAGTTTTTATACTTGCAGTAACAGTATTATGTAGATTTAATCAAGTCAGACACATACACACATTGTACACATTATGCATCTAGTTCCTGTCGAAGATCATTACAAAAGTAATTTATTTTTCTGAACTTGTTTTGAATGCCATATCTGCAGTTTGCAGTGAGCATGTTAGATTTTGCAGTCCTATCATGTTTTAATAAATTAAACAACATTTTTAGTTATTTGTTTTGGAATATTTTTAGGTGGCACAAAATGGCAGCAGAAAAATAATGATGTCAAAGAACGTTTGTCACATTTGAGGACATCTGGTGATTTTAGTGACTGTGTGTTCATAGTGGGAAGTGGTGAGACTGTGGAGGTTTGTGCTATGTCCCCTTGCTATGTTGTAAATTTAGTCATATTATTTTATATTTCATGCCAAAAGAAAATTTTTGGTAACAAAGAAGAATGACTTATTTTAATCTCTTGTCAAGAAATTTATAAAATTGCTTTTGGTATTTATATAATCTTTTTAGAAAGTAAGTTGTTTTGTTGTGTCTTATGTTTTTTTGTGTCTTATTGTTTTGTTCTGTCTCATTGTTTTATTGTGTCTTACTGTAGTACCACTGCCACCAGGTAAAACCCATTTGCAGTTAATAATAAATAAAATAATAATATACAATGTAAGTTCAGACATTTTACATTAAACAGGAATAGTGTTTAGTACCACTGCAGTTACTTAGCAGTATAAAATTATGCAATATATTATGATCATCATCCTTTATAACTGACTGACACATATTACATTAAAGTGATTACTGAACTTCACAGTACTTTCTCTCCAGCGAAGACTCTACCAGGGCCACACATTTTTTAAATAGCTTGTGTGCTAGAAGAGCTTTGTTGCCTTTCTAAAGGAAAGAACATAAAGCATTTATTAATTTATAGAAATTACATTACATTGTAAGCTGGTCACAGTGGCGGCGCGGTCTGAGGTTTTGGCCTTCTGCGCTTGGCCATTGGGGCCGTAGGTTCGAATCCCACTCAAGGCATGGATGTTTGTTCATGTCTGTTGTGCTGTCTTGTGTACAGTTAGAGGCCTAGCGACGGGCTGATCACTCGCCAAAGGAGTCCTACCAAATGTCTAAATCGAATAAGTAACCTTCAAAAGAGGCAGCCAAGACCCACACTGGGTTGTAGAGCCACAAATGATGATTATGACATTATATTGGAAAGGAATATCACAAATTATGAAAATTATGTAGAATTATAAAATATGTGCGTTATGAAATTAAGAATTGTCTTTGTTGTTGAAAACATGTATTAAAACTTTCTCTTTTAGAAAGGTGATAAATGTAGTACTTGTGATAAAATTTATTTGAGTAGAGTATTTGGGTTGGCTCGTATTTTAATTTACAAATATATCTGTGCTTGTGTGTGTACATGTGTATACAGTGGCAGAAGAACAATGGGATGGAATGAAAGGAACAGTTTGGAGCCACAGGTAAGTTGTAAGTAGAGTAATTTTGTGTTTGCACAGTTATGTTTTATAAAATGTGCACAAAAATTACTATGGTATACTTTTTTGGAATTATCACCACTTTCATTTGAAATTTATCGGAAACATTCTGTTTGTGAACCACGATAAAGAAAAAGAAATCTAGTACTGGCCAAAGACTTTGGTTGTTGTGAGTTACTAATTGTCAAATTACCTGCATGTTCTGCAAATATGTAAACTTAAGTCATTAATTTAGGAGACTGTACCATTGCCTGAGCTGGAGTAGCTCAGTCAGTATAGTGTCTGACCATGGACTCCAGAGTTTATTCCCTAGTAGGAGTAAAGGATTTTTCTTCTAGCCTGTGTGTCCATATCAGCTCTGGGACTCACCTAGCCTTTTTTCCAGTGAGTGCTGGGGGATACCTTCTCTGAGAGTAAAGTGAGGTTGAGACATGACACGGACCACATCTACTGCCATGGTCAAGAACGTGTGGGAGCTTCCCCCCCCCCACAAAAAAATATCAGCTCCATGGTGTGGAACCAGACTTTTTATGCCATTCCTTGAACAAAAGGTGCTGAGGACTAAATGTGACCTGTGGGCTAGGTTTACTGTTTGTGAGAAGTTAAGTTTTGATATAAACAGTTGTGCAGCTCGTAACAAAGACTTTTATCTTCCAGACTGTTCGGGCCCATGAATTGATCATGCGTATGTCAAGTCCAACTTTTGAAGAGTTGTTAATAACAAACAAATCAGATGGTGCTGTTCATATTACTGATATTGAACCAAGAATATTTAATATGATGCTTGAGTAAGTATGCCATACACGTGTATTGTCACAATGTGTATATATTCTAGTGCATAAGTTCCATGCTAAAATACCCCTGCTTCATATTTGGGTGGTTTGAATCAAGCCTTGTCTGGAGAATGGTTATCCTGACCAAAGTTTTTGTGGTTTGGCTTACCTACTTTATCCTCCTATGTAAGTAAACTTGCGTTTATCAAAGTATATTTGTAATGTGCGCTTAATATGTTGTATTAAATGCGTTTAGATTGTGAGATTTAAGGTTTTTACTGTAGTTAGAATGAAGATATTTATCTGGATTTTGGCACTGTGTAGACTTGTCAGTAGATGCCAGTGTTTCAGAGAAACATGGTCAGAGAGACATGCTTCAGGGCGGTAATGAACTTCAGCTTATTCTGTTCTTGACCATTCTTGAAAGCACTAGACTTATAGGATCTTCATTCCACTCGCACGGATTACTCATCGCCCTGATGATGGAGGCAGCAAGGACCTCTGAAACGTCGGTATACTTCTACCAGACTACACGGCACTACAACTCAGCAAACTTCAGACTCACTGCTGTGAAAACCTCAAATCCTCTATTGTAATATTGTTGCTTGACTTTTTAATAGCGTTGTTTAGGACGTTGCAGTATTTTTTGTACTGGCTTTTCAGTTGATGGTTGTTGTTGTGCCTGCTACAATTTCAGCGTTTCCTATACAGAATGAGTCAGAAATATGTTTACAAACTTCGTGTGCATGTTCAGGATCAAAAAATAAGAAAAAGTGTTCCTATAAACATGGGGTCACAAATGTTTCATTTTCAAAATAATAACCAAAAATTAGTTTCAATGAATTGACTTTATATCAAAGTGAATCCAGCTTCCAGCAAAAATTTTCAATTAACGTTTGCTCAGGAATTGTTGGCGACATGCTTATTGGTCCACACATGCTTCCATCGCGTCTAAGGGGACCTTCATATCGGTGATTCTTAAGAAGACACTTGCCACGTCTCCTTGAAGATGTACCACTGAATACAAGAAAACAAATGTGGTTTGTACATGACAGAGCCCCAGCACACTTCTCCCATTGCGTCAGATATCATGTCAATGAACAGCACCCTCGGTGATGGATTGGGCGTGGTGGCCCAGTAGTATGGAAACCAAGGTCACTATGGATTGGGCGTGGTGGCCCAGTAGTAATGAAACCGAGGTCACTGGATCTGACTCCATTTGACTTTTATCTGTGGGGTGACTTGAAGTCCGTCGTTTATGCAACACCCATAAACAATGATGACGACCTATGGGAACGTGTGCAGAATTCATGCCAGATGATTCGAGGAAACCCTGGTGTGTACGAACGAATCCGTCATTCTTGTGTACGTCGTGCTCGTGCATGTGTGGAGAATGGAGGATCAACCTTTGGGCATCTGTTATAAAGAAACATCCCTGTCCTTATACTTGGCAATAAAGGCATACATTGAAAATTTATTATTGGCTATTATTTCAGAAATGAAACATTTGCGACCCCATGTTCATAGGATTTTTTTTTCTTATTTTTTATCCTTGAACACGCACACGAAGTTTGTAAACATACTTCTGACTCACCATTTATATGTTTACACAATATTCTGATTCCCTTAGTTAATCACTCTTTTTATATTTAACTTGTCTATATTTTAAATGGAAAGCATGATTCAGAGGTTTCAATAAATGTATAGTGAAGACAATAAATTTTTCTTGTTGCATTTGGACTGCTATAAACAGACTTCTAGTTTTCATTTTGAAGGTAGCTGTTGAACTGAGTGCAGTAAGTTCTTTCCACAGCTTCTTGTTTTTTATATTAAATATATACTGTTTTTACTTAGTTACATGTATCTCGACCACATAAAGTTGAAATGTACTGAGGATGCCAGCGCTCTTTATAAGGCAGCTGTGAAATACAACTTGCCTTATCTATGTGAAGTCTCTGCAAAGTACATGGTTCGGGACATACAGCTGTGAAATACAACTTGCCTTATCTTTGTGAAGTCTCTGCAAAGTACATGGTTAGGGACATGAACGTTGATACACTATGGCCTATCTTACAGCTGCTTTCTCAAGTTCAAGAGCCGATTCTGAAAGAGGAATGTGGCAAGGTAATGTTGCAATATTAGAACATGTTCATATAAATACTTTTGTACTTGATGTTACAGAAAAGAAATCAGATTGAATTTTTTTTCTTTGACCTCATTTACTTGTTCCTTCCTAGGCACTTGAAAAGTCTGAGGAATTGCATAGAATGAATTGCTATGTGGGCACAAAATTCATTCTGATTACTGTTTTAAGCTACATTATAGGCACAGTGTGTCTACCATATCACAATAAAGATTTGGTTAATGTTGTTTTTGCAGTTTGTGAGTAAAAATCCATCACTGGTACTGAAGCATGCAAACTTCCCCAATGTGGATTGGAATATTGTGAACATGATAGTGGAGTTAGACTGGCTGGATGTACCAGAGATTGAGATTCTGAGAGCAGTAGAGAAATGGGCAGAGCATCAATGCCTCAAAGTCAACGACCTCCCAGACAGGGATAACAAACGTTCAGCCATCGGTCCTGTTATCCTGTCCAAGCTGCGTTTCCTAGCTGTTTCCCGGGAAGAATTTGTGAAGGGGGCAGCTTTTTCAACTACCAGTGACAAAGGTCTTCTAACATTGGAGGAGAGCTATGCCATTCTCATGAATCTCACAGTTCCTGTTTCATATCCCATGCCTGATGGAATCAGCGGAGACGGTAATTCACGTATGCTGGCCAAGTTAAGATGCATCCGTAAGATTCAGGCGACATCCTCACTCTCTTTATTCACACCCGGAGGCTTCAGATCACCCCGGCCCACTGTTTTTGATTCTTCCTTTAACAATACATTGGACCAAGTTGTGGCATTGGCATCACCCTCTCAGACAACCAACTTTGGTAGCAAGAACTTCTCACTTGATATCAAGGTGGATCATCCCATTGTACTGTATGGGATTCAGGTTCCCACTTTATTGTCTGCAACAGGAGCCAAACCTTTTGCAAATGAATATGATGAGTCATTCGTAGTCACTGTGTTGGATGTCTTTGGAACCCCAATCAGTCGTACAGTATTTTCTGGGAAGATTTCATATGGGTCTGTGATTGACATCAGCCTAAAAGAATCAATAATTTTGCAGAAGAATGCCAGTTATAAGGTTCAAGTGTACACAAGCAATGTATATTTCTTGAGCAAGAAGCTGCATTCAAAGGAAGACTGTCCCCCAGTGAAGTTCACATTCACGGACGCCATCACGGTTGATACGCTTGAACCATCATCACCCCTCTTTCGTGATGTTGGTTTTGTTACTCAACTCATATATTCAGTATGGGCGTGATCTGGTCATCATCATGATCATTCTTTTTGTACAAATGTACAATGAATGTTTCATTCCTAAATGTGAAATTATTCATGGCAGAACTGAAGTGCAGTTTAAAATTACATCTCTTATTACAAAGAAGTTAATCCAGCAAAGAGGTGAACATTTTAAAATCTGTTTGCCACTTTTATGGACAGAATTGTGAGATATGAGGCTTATATGGCGGTGAGTTTGAAGATGGCTGTCTTTTGGATCATTGGCCCATGTAGTCTGGTAGAAATTTTACTAATGTTTGGTAAACTTTTCTCTTGTTTTGTATGGGTGCGAAGCATGGTCTCTCACTCTGAGGGAGGAACGTAGATTTCAGGTGTTTGAGAATACGGTGTTGAGAGGATAATTGGGCCTAGGAGAGAAGATGATAGGGCATGGATAAAACTGCATAATGATGGGCTTAAAATTTTATATTCCTCAGGGTGATTGAGTCAAGAAGAATGAGATGGGTGGGGCAAGAGTTGTGCATCAGGTATTGGTCAGGAAGCCTGAAGGGAGGAGACCACTGGGGAGACCTAGATGTAGATGAGAGGATAATATCAAGTGGGGTCTATGGGGAGAGTTGAAGGCGATTGGAATTTCCTGTCCCAGGATGGACCAGTGGAGGGCTTTTCTTAATTTGGTGATGAACCTTCAGGTTCCCTAAGCCATCTACTTAGTTTGTAAACTTTTACCAGACTACATGGCGCACCAACCAGAGGATAGTAATGTCCTTATCACTTCATCATACTTTTTTACCCATGGATGCTTCATAATAATATTCTATTTATTGATTATCGACAGTTGACAATGTGTTCAGACAGTTTTAAGTTTATTGTCAGACTTATATTGTATTTCATTAGGACTTCAAAATTTGAAGAACAAATAGGGGAAGCAGTTGAATGCTGTATGCTGGAGGAACAAGTTACAACTGTAATTCTAGCAGCTAGAATTATGGTTGTAACTAGAATCTAGCTTGTATTGTTCATCTCTGTAATATCCATAATCTTATTTTAACTCTTAGTTTAATGTATAGATGTGTTTTGTTGTTTTGTTTTATAATAAAGGCTCACCTTGGATATGTAATATGCATGATAGTTTCTGTCCTTTCCATTTTTCACCTTTATAAGATTCTACTCCTTTATATAAACAGTGCAAAACATCAAACTACTCATCTGTTAAATTTTAGTCTTTTAGGTTGTGATTGTAGTGTTCTTGGCATGTGATATGGCTAGTCCATTGTGAAAGGTTTTTCTCTATTTCTGGACATCAGATTAATTAAGTATGATACTGGAACCCAGATTAATGAAATTTTGATTTATAAATCGGCTAGATCGCAGCTACTCTGCATCGTGTCAGAGGTCTGCCAAGTAAGAAAAGCAATCTGTATCCTTGTCAGTACTAAAATCTCTGACTCCTTCATAAAAGCTTGATATGTACGTATTCATCATCATCGATTAGGCACTAATGCCTGTTCCGGCTTCAGATTGATCTTCCCATCTTCTTGGCCGACCTCGATCTCTTTTCCCGCTAGGTTTGTAGCCGAGCGCAGCCTTAGGAAGTCTGTCTTCAGACATTCGTTCCAATATGTATTAATGAGGGTAAACCTACTAAAGTGGTAAATGGCACCATAAGAGATTTCATCACCACCACGTGAATCAGTCTAATTTTTAGACTCTTTACCTACGTCTAATGGTTGATTTGTAGACAGTTTGTATTCTTAAGGTAACAAAGCATTATTCCCACACCATGTGGCTCAACGCGTCGTTGAATCTTCCTAAGCTTTAGGCCGCCGGCTGCTCACGGTATAGAAATTTTCTTAATATTTTATGTCGGAGTTGGTACATTTTTACCGACTCCACATAAAATTGCTTCTGACTCCACAGCCTTGCTGGCAGATAAGGAAGATATGCAATTTTGTGTATGGTTTCAACAGTTAATGGTGATACAGCATTCATGTGATTCTGGATCCTGTGGTTTACATGTGAAATACAACTCTATCTCAGAAAGTACATGAACTTGTAAAGTTCACATTTGTGGGTTTGGAAAATCCACATGCCATCCCCAAGTACCATGATTGGCTTGTGGTGCGACTTTTCTCAGACATGAAAATTATCAGGCTTATTTTCTTTCCTCACCCAGAACACAGGTACACCTCACAGTTTTCAGTACACCAGTTGGCTGGTGATCTAACTACGGACTACTTCCAGCAAGATGAGGCAAGATGTCATATGTGACATGCAAGCATGAGGGAACATTCACCACTAGTTTGAAGACATTCCTGGAGAAGTTTTGAGTACCATGTCCAGTTGTACATATGTTCCAGGGGTTACCACTTTCAGCATCTTCATTGATGTGTGTTTGGATGCAGTTTCATAAGGACTGAGGCATGTACCTATAACATGTGATCACTCTGTACTAGAGATGAAGGTAAATTTGCTCTGGTACTTCATTAAGCACCTTGCCACAAAAATGCCAGGGAGTGGCTGTATAGCTCTGTGTGTTCTTAATTTTAGCACCAGATGGAGGTGAGTGGTTAGTTTTACACCCTTTTCTCCTGGAGAATGAACCCAGTTTTACTCATTGCACATGAAGATGGGTGGCACCCCAGAGTTGGTCTGGATGTCAAAGAGAAAAATTGTCGCCTCTTGAGAATCAAGCCCTGGTCATGTAGTTCATAACATAATCACTATAATTAATGAGCTAACCTAGCTGTTTTCTACTACAGAGATATATATATATATATATATACATTTAGTTTATTTTGGTTTATGTGTACTGTTATGTTTTTTCTTCTTCATGCAAAGTGTTCTGAGCCATGAGGTGCAATTTATGGTCAACTGTAAAACTTGTCATGATATTCTCTGGTTTGATATTACCCATACAGTACCATTCTTTGTTCTGGGGAAGAATAGCATGCCTATCTGTACTATGGCTCTGTACTCTGTTTATGTTACTCCTTTTAATGTTTCATAGTTGAATCACTGTACAGAAGGTTTGTTTTTGGAAGTATGTTGAAAGTATGAGGGAATACAGTTTTTTGTCATGACACTGATCAGATCGCATATTTGTGATTAGCAGAGATTATCAAGAACTTAGTTTGTGCAATCAAACAGTATTTGGTCCTTTGTAATTATGTTCCATTGAAAAAAGTACATTGGGGCTCTAATATGTAGGATGATTTTATTAAAATGAGGTGTCACTGGAGTCTGCCACCCATTTCCAGATTGAGCATGAATCATGGGGTACTTCAAATTAGCTCTCTTGTTAGCTTTACTCTTCTAAATGCAGAATTTAATGATAAATAGCTCATGGAATGCTCATTTTTAAACATGCCTCACACAGACCTGAAATTAAGCAACCCACAAGTTCTGTTTTAGTTTGTTACATACTTTTTGTATGTTTCTAGAGGGCCACACTTCATATTTTATTATTTAGTGGGATGGCTGTGCTGGTGTCCGTTTGGCCAGACGTGCCTAAAAGTTAAAACCAGAAGCAAACTCATCCAGGTCAGGTGCTACACAGCAATCATACTTTTGGGAGGTGACATTGGTCCTTGTAAGCACCTTTTCCATTGTAGAAAGTAGGCTAATAGAAATTAGTCAATTTATGTTTGAACATGCAAACTGTAAGAGGAAGTCCTAACTGTACAGTTTTAATTTTGTCATACTAAGGTACAATTTTCTAAACTACAGTAATAAGATTTGGTACACATATAGTAATGGACATTCTGTATCTACTGACTTCTTTTCATAGCAACATACTTGTAAACATAAGTTTTTATACATTTTTTATATAATCCCACAACTTGGTTTTTATAGACATAGGTCCATTTTTACCAGAAACTACATGCAATAGAAGTGAAATTATACCATTAACCATACTGTTTGTGAAGCTACAATTTTTTAAGTTGCTTAACACACAAAACCATCAAGTTATTAAATATTTTTTAAATTGAAAATTTTGAAGAAATTGGGCTTTTGCAAACAAATTGTAAGAACACTGTTTATCAGTATAGTGCTATGAAAGGAATTATACGTAAGGAAAACCCGTTAACTACCTGTGTGGCACATTTCGTAATGAAGATTTTGTACTTTAGAAAATGTTCTGTAATAAAATATTGTGGGGACAAGGCTGACCACCTTCCCTTAAAAGAAGTGCCACGACCCCTAGTTTCACTACAGCCCTGAAGAAAAATAAATAGTTTAATAACACGTTAACTAGGCGGCTTATTCAAACCAATGTATTCTTGGCTTGTATGACGGTGACTAGATGGCCAAATGATTTGAAAGCATATGCCATCTAGTACGGAAAGTTTTAACTATGACATTAGCGATCAACTTGGTATGTGTATTTGTTACTAACAGAAATTTACGGCATATAGCAACTACATTGGTTGTTCAGTGCTTATTTCATAACCGAAACATAATTTCACTTTTCAGACTAAATGTAGTTCAATTCTCACCTTATGACTATAACAGACCTGTTTAGCGCAAATTAAACATGTTATGTTGCCGACACTGTTCACCGATGGAGACTTCATGTCAGCCATGTTTCTTTCCGTCTTGTTTTGGTTACAGAGCGATAGGGGACGGTTGTGGTGAAGGTGCTGTGGTTGTATTTGAGGCTCGTATGCTGTAGGACTTTGTGTTTTGTTACGATGTTATGAATGATAATACTGTAAAATAAAGTTGTTACAAGGAAATTTATTTTAATGATGAAGGAAAAGTGAAGTATGAGTGAAATAACTTTGACATTTGTAAAGTGTTATGGCGGTGTTTCAAATATCGGTAAGCTTGTTGTGAAGTTACCATGACCATGAGTGTCCGTGGTAGTTGGTGTTGTGTGTGGATGCTGTGGAGTTGGTCAGTGGCCGTAGTTTCGGCATCCCAACGAAGTAGCGGTATTACATCACGCGTCACCGAACGGGACAGTCTCCCTCATCATAATCGTTGTGAACCTATAACAATCCCATTTTGTATGGACATACAATACAATGAGACTATCATGCCCAACCTTCTTAATCATCAGAAACAAGAAGATGCTGGACTGGAAGTGCATCAGTATTTTCCTTTAGTAAAAGTTAAATGTAGCCCAGATCTTCAGTTTTTTTTGTGTTCGATATATGCACCTGTGTGCACAATACTAGATAAAGCAATTCCTCCTTGTAGGTCACTTTGTGTATCAGCCCGACATGGTTGCGAGGAACTTATGAACAATTTTGGATTCCAGTGGCCAGAAGAACTAGACTGTGCAAAGTTTCCAGAGACTGGCATAGATATATGTGTTGGAGAAAACAATACTGCAAGTACAAATGTGCCAGGAGGTGGAAGTCGCACGGGAGGGCCAATTGCTCATGGAGATAATTACCCTTTTCAACCAAGTTACGAATCGAAATTTCCAAAGATCCCAGATGGAGCTAGAGACTACGGTTTTGTATGTCCAGTGCATTTCAAGGTGCCTAAGGATATGGATTATTCCTTGAAAGTGGGTGACAAAGTGGAGAAGAATTGCGGTGCACCTTGTCACGGAATGTTTTTCAGTGACGACGAGAGACATTTCGCACGTGTATGGGTTGGAGTTTGGTCCGTGTTGTGTGCTGCCTCTTGCCTCTTCACAGTCTTAACATTTCTCATAGATACAGACCGTTTTCGATATCCAGAACGACCCATCATATTTCTGTCTGTGTGCTATCTCATGGTAGCACTAGCATATGTGGTGGGATTTGGTGCTGGTGATTCAATAGCATGTCGTGATCCGTTCCCAGCCCCGCTAGATTTACCGCACTTGCAGATGGTATCAACAATCACACAAGGAACAAAACACCAGTGGTGCACAATCCTCTTCATGATACTGTACTTCTTCAGCATGGCATCGTCTATATGGTGGGTGGTGTTGACACTTACATGGTTTTTGGCTGCTGGACTCAAGTGGGGTCATGAGGCCATTGAAGCAAATTCACAGTATTTTCACCTGGCAGCCTGGGCAGTGCCTGCCATCAAAACCATCACAATTCTTGCCATGGGAAAAGTTGAAGGTTTGTATCACTTCTCTCATTACATTCCTTGATATCTGTTCAGTAGCAGTGTGTAGAGGTGCGTGTGTTTCTCATTCTTCCTTAAGAAGTTTTGATGAGGGGTGGGGAACAGTTTCCTGTGATTTCAAATGTTGAATTAATTTGAGTTCTTTCATATCGCAATTGTTTCTTCTGTGTGTTTAATGCAGTTGATCAGAGGCCTTCTTGAGAATCTAGTAGTTGCACAGCTTGTTACAGAAATTCTCCACTTTTTATTTCATGCAAAGTTTTATTATGATGTTTACAAGACCTTTTCTGAGCCATATTCTCAGGAAAGCAACATTTCTTTAAAAATGATTTTAATATTTTGCCATCTATATATAGCTCACCCAAGTGATGTTTCCATCTCATTTTCTGGTGAAATATTTTATGCGTTTCTTATCCCTCACATGTTTGTTGAAGACAAGGCCCTGTGTAGTGTTTTGTTACATTATTCGGTATATTAGCAGCTATGTTTTCTATCTGAAAACTGTTTCCATCCAGAGCAGGCTTGTACGATATGGATTTAATCACGTCTTACTGATATTATTTTGTCAGATCTGTACCATGTAGTAAATTTGTTACATTTATGTAGCTTATAAATATCTCTTTTTGGAAACAAAATTGCAAGAAACAGAAGAACCATTGATGTTTTAGTTGCGAAGTGTTGGATTTCATAGCAACTGGGAAATTTTGGCCAGCTGAGCAACTATCAGATTTAGCATAAGATGGTATAGGCTTAAAATGCCTGGTGAACGAAACTGGCAAGAAACAAAGACTTATGCTGTGCTATATTTTTTTCAAAATGAGATTGTAACTGGATTTTAGCAGTCATTTATGATCGTTGAGTTTGATGCATATTTATTTTTTTTGAAGTTGATGAGACTATTTGTGGACGGGGTGCTTAACTTTTGCCAGATCTCTTGACGAAATTCACCCATTGTTCTGAACTCATTCATGGCTTGCAAGACAAATACATGACAATAGTTCTTGGTGTGATGCTAAATTAAGCATATTAATGCAGACATGTTTACATATTATTTATTTTCAATAACAAGATCAGCCATTAGTGAGATATTTGACACAGCTTTTAATTTCGTTTATTATGAAGAATAGTAAAAATACTGGAAAGTGAAACAGCATTGTGCTTTTTGTACTGTTGACGTCACAGTTTGAAACGTGAACCAGACCGCCACAGTGAAGACGTGAGGATCCTCCTTATGTGTGACGTCATTGTGTAGGCTGTATTGCCTATGTTCAGGAGTACCTTAGTATTTGCATGTTAAACCTGAAGCGATTATTACCTGAAGTTGGAGACATGATCTCTGAAACGTCTACATGATGCCAACTATTACTACGGCATAGTGGTTAGAATTTATTATTCGTGCTTGGGAGGTCCTGGGTTCAAATCATGACCCAAAGATCGTCTGTCCAGGCAGGTTTTTTCGTGGTTTTCCCTTAGCCCTCCCTTCCAGATGAATGCTATGAAAGGGCCTAAAATTGCTCTGCTGCCACTTCAATATCCTTTCTGTTGTATTATTTATGATTTATGTACTGTGTTGTATCAACTGCTGACACCGTTGTTAAATACACCATAAATATAATTCATGATTCCTTCACCAACAAGCAGAATTCGTGTTAAAAGTGAAGTGCCGTGAAAGCCGAAATCAGAAAATGTTCGCGGAATTTGTTATAGTATAAAACATCACAGAAGAATTATGTTTTAAACTTCAATAATTCTTCCATAAGAATACTATATAAAGCGTGTCCCAAAAAGATGTTTACTGCTTGTCTGTTGCTCATAGCTTCGTCTGTTCGACGAAGCTAATGGCGGTTATTTTAGAACGCCTACACTTGATTCACTAATTCACTCAGTGCCAATACTGACGTATGTAATGGTTTCTTTTGTTGAAATGTATTTATTTTATTAATTGAATGTGTGTATACATGTATTTGGAACACTGTATAGCGTAGAAGGTTTTTTGTAAAGGTTAAAACGGTTCCAGAATGAATTCAAGGAGCAAATCATTTACTTGCTGTCTTCATGCCACCTTGTCCACCATAAATCCAACATGGACCAAACAGCCAGAGCCATATCTTGACAGCCAAGAGTTAGCTTACTTCAGCCGTCAGAATTTGTGCTGTTTATACAAAAGAAAGTGTAGCCACTAGGTATCCAAGCAACCAGCTGACTTCACTTCTTTGAGCTAGATTACAGGTTTTCAATTCAGCGAGTATGAAGATGGCTGTCTGCCGTATAGTCTGGTCAGTTCACCTTTGAAAATTACCTTTGAAACGTCTGCAAACTTCTACCAGACTACACGGCACAACAACCCAGAAGGCAGCCATCTTATGAATTCTTTAACTAAAAGACTCTGGCTGCATGTAATAAATAGGCCTACTTAATGATATATATTTGTATATTTAAGACTGGGGTCCGCAGTGGCCGCGCGGTCTGAGGCGTGGGCCTTGGTCGCTGGGACCGTAGGTTCGAATCCCACTCAAGCCATGGATGTTTCTCCGCATTTTTCTGTGCTGTCCTGTGTACAGGTACAGGCCTTGCGACGGGCCGATCCCTCGTCCAAGGAGTCCTACCAAAAAGTCTATAGATCAAGGCAACGAAAAGTTGGGACCCGCAGTGCTCAGGCACAGTATCCAAGTATATTTAAGACACTGTGTAATATTTTGTTTCAACGAAATTTTGGGTAATTTAATGCGACAGTTACTAGTGCTTTTCTTTATTCATGATTTCTCAATCTGAAATAGTTGAAGAATAATCTAAGTTTGTAATGCCCATAATCTTTGTTGGCTCTTTAAACGCCAGTTTTGGCGGCGCCGTGTTTTTTGGCTGGCTAAGCGTTTTTTATATAACGTTTCTACATCATCTGGAAGTGGGCCAGTGTCCTGCTCGTAACATGTGTTTAAACTATCAAGGAGAGACAGACGTGAGGGAGTTAAAATTAGTTTTCTTCTACTTGAAAGCTTCATGCTACGCCCTACTTGTCGGATATGCGGTATAAATACATGAAAGAGCCTTCTGTTTTGTATATATTTTCTGTTTCTTTAGGGATTTTTGTGTCAGCCTCGTGGTAGTTTTAATTGGTTTCTGGTTTAGCTATGTTCATGGTTTAGTCTTCATGTACTGACATTTGAACGTTTTCAACATGCAGTTTGTTGTGTCGTGATACATAATGGCTAGACTGTACACGTACTTTGTTTTTTTAGCAAATTTTCACCATTTTATGAAATCGGTTTATCTGTTCAGCCATCCGTAAGCAGTTTTCGTCTCCGAAACTGGTCGCCGAATTTCGGTGAAAATTGGCATTATTTGTGTAAACTGAAAGTTTTAGGGCGAATTTGATGTTGGTTCATAGAATTAAAGTCTGCTCGAACTTAATCATTTTTCTCAAAAACCGTTCATCGTACAAATGTAAATTACGTTATTAGGACTTTCGTCTTTTGTGTCATATAAATATTTAACGAGATTAAATAAAATAATTTGCGAGAATGTACGTCTTTGCGATAGATTTGTACACACTGATGGAATTAGAATATTTATTGAATACAGTGAATTCGGTTAATTGAGACACCTCGGGACTAGAACACTTTGGTCCAATTAAGCGGCTGCCCCGATTTTGCAAAGTTCCAAGTAAAGAGTTAAAAAGGTTTGTTCTTTGAGATTTGGCCCAATTAACCGGAATCTACTGTATATTATTGCGTCGTATTTAAAAGTTCTATGTTGTTTGATGCGAGGTCAGTCTTGTATATCCGAGTGGCTCTAACATTGCTGTTTAAGAAGTTCTTTGATGTAACTTTCACAGTGGAGAGTCTAAACCTTTATTATATCCTGTTGCAATCTGGGCCGACATGGCAAATTGACAGGGGAAAGGCGTGTGATATGCGTTATGTAGTGACTTAATTTTCGTCTACTTTGTAAGAAATGCATCCAGAATTTGGCAGTGAAACGTAATGGAGAGAAGCTACTTGAAAGTAAGGGATTATAGGCGAGGAAGCTGTTAAAATTGAATTTCGGGGGAAATGGGAGTCGTTGCGTCAACTGGCTGTCGTGCATTCCGAGGCTAATAAACTTTCAGATTTTCTAACACCAGTGATACTTTATGTAGTTTTAATTATTGTAAACATACTGCTAACTAATTAACTCCGTGGATAAGAGTATTTGTTGAGAAGCTGACGGTACGCCCAGCGCTAATCAAGAAATTTGTGTCTTCTAAGGAACCAAAATGTTCAGTACCATGTTTACAAAAGCCCGTCACCAGTGCATATCCCTAGGCACATGAATCCAGTCTACACGCTTCCCGCTTTGTCTCCCAAAACATCAGTCAATACTGTAGTTTTTTTTAGTCTTTTATATTCTGGTCTTTGCGTTTTTGAGTTGGAGACAGGACGGTAGAAGATTCTGACGTGTTGGATTTACAGATGAATGTTTTTTTACCGCATCTGTCATCTATATAATCATCGATTGTCATTTTTTGTTGCAGTGCAGTTTTTACGTGTTTGTTATTATTTATTTTGGGTGAAATTGTTCCGCTCATAGGGGATTCGACTTAAGTATGAGATTTTTCGGTCCCAGCTCCTGTGTAGTGTATTTGGACATAAGAGAATTTAAGTACAGGAGGTTGGTGAGCCGCAGAGCGGATCTGAATTTTACAGTGAAGGACATCGAAATGTGGTCATCCGTTCACTAGTCGGTTAATATACTGACAGAGCAAAAACAGATTTTCATAAAATATCAATTAGAGAAAGTGTGAGAAACAAGATGCATGTATTAATTTAAATTCTGGAAGTGAAAGTACTCGTTACTCGTTGTAAGGAATTTATTGATCTGAGGAACTGGCTGTTTAAGAAATATTTTTGTTACTAAGTAGAGAACATTGTAAGGCACTTGTAAGTGTTGATGGAAAAACGTTGGGACATGTCAAGAACAGCTTTTTTACCTTGACTAATTAAAAGCAAGTCTGTTC